GGTAGTACACGTGTTATAGTGGGTAGGACACGTGTTATAGTGGGTAGTACACGTGTTATGCGGGGTAGGACACGTGTTATAGTGGTAGGACAATGCTATGGTGAGATTAATGTTATAGTGGGTAGTACACGTGTTGTAGTGGGTAGACACGTGTTATAGTGGGTAGGGACACGTGTTATAGTGGGTAGGACGTGTTATAGTGGGTAGGACACGTGTTATAGTGGGTAGGATACGTGGTATAGTGGGTAGGACACGTGTTATAGTGGTAGACGTGTTAGTGGGTAGACACGTTATAGTGGGTACACGTGTTATAGTGGGTAGTTTATGTGTTATAGTGGGTAGTAATATGTTATAGTGGGTAGTACTTGTTATAGTGGGGTAGGACACGTGTTATAGTGGGTAGGATACGTGGTATAGTGGGTAGTACACGTGTTATAGTGGTAGGACACGTGTTATAGTGGGTAGGGACACGTTATAGTGGGTAGACACGTTATAGTGGGTAGGGACACGTGATATAGTGGGTAGTACACGTGTTATAGTGGGTAGGACACGTTATAGTGGGTAGGACACGTTATAGTGGTGGACACGTTATAGTGGGTAGGGACACGTGTTAGAGTGGGTAGGACACGTGTTATAGTGGGTAGGACACGGTATAGTGGGTAGCACGTTATACTGGGTAGGGACACGTTATACTGCAGGGACACGTGTTATAGTGGGTAGTGACACGTGTTATAGTGGCAGGACACGTTAGTGGGTAGGACACGTGTTATAGAGGGTAGGACACGTTATAGTGGGCAGAACACGTGTTATAGAGGGTAGGACACGTGTTATGGCTGGTAGGACACGTTAGATTGCAGGACACGTGTTATAGTGGGTAGGACACGTGTTATAGTGGGTGTACACTTATAGTGGGTAGTACACGTGTTATAGTGGTGGTACGTGTTATAGTGGGTAGTACACGTGTTATAGTGGGTAGTACACGTGTTATAGTGGGTAGGACACGTTATAGTGGGTAGGACACTTGTTATAGTGGGTAGGACACGTGTTATAGTGGGTAGGACACGTGTTATAGTGGGTAGGACACGTGTTATAGTGGGTAGGACACGTTATAGTGGGTAGGACACGTGTTATAGTGGGTAGGACACGTGTTATAGTGGGTAGGGACACGTGTTATAGTGGGTAGGACTCGTGCTATAGTGGGTAGGACACGTATAGAGGGTAGGGACACGTGTTATAGTGGGTAGGACACGTGTTATAGTGGGTAGGACACGTGCGCAGGGTAGGACACGTGTTATAGGGTAGGACACGTGTGTTATAGTGGGTAGGACACGTGTTATAGTGGGTAGGACACGTGTTTATAGTGGTAGGACCGTTATAGTTTGGGACGTGTTATAGTGGGGGACTCGTTATAGTGGGTAGGACACGTGTTATAGTGGGTAGGACACGTGTTATAGTGAGTAGGACATGTGTTATAGTGGGTAGGACACGTGTTATAGTGGGTAGGACACGTGTTATAGTGGGTAGGACACGTGTTATAGTGGAGTTGGACACGTGTTATAGTGGGTAGGACACGTTTATGGTGGGTAGGACACGTGTTATAGTGGGTTAGGACACGTGTTATAGTGGTTAGGACGTGTTATAGTGGGTAGGACACGTGTTATAATTGGTTAGGACACGTGTTATGGTGGATAGGACACGTGTTATAGTGGGTAGGACACGTTTATAGAGGTAGGATACGTGTTATAGTGGGTAGGACACGTGTTATAGAGGGGTAGGACACGTGTTATAGAGGTGGACACGTGTTATAGTTGGGACACGTGTTATAGTGGGTAGGACAAGTGTGTTATAGAGGTGGGACACGTGTTATAGGGTAGGACACGTGTTATAGTGGTGGGACACGTGTTATAGAGGGGTAGGACACGTGTTATAGTGGGTAGGACGTGTGTTATAGAGGGTGGGACACGTGTTATAGTGGTGGGACACGTGTTATAGGGTAGGACACGTGTTATAGAGGTGGACACGTGTTATGAGGGTGGGACAGTGTTGTATAGTGGGTAGGACACGTGTTATAGTGGGTAGGACACGTGTTATGGGGTAGGACACGTGTTATGGGGTAGGACACGTGTTATAGTGGGGTAGGATGTGTGGTATAGAGGGTAGGACACGTGTTATAGAGGGTAGGACACGTGTTATAGAGGTAGGACGTGTTATAGAATTGGGACACGTGTTATAGTGGGTAGGACGTGTGTTATAGTGGGTAGGACGTGTTGGAGGACACGTGTTATAGTGGGTAGGACACGTGTTATAGTTAGATTTGGGACACGTGTTATAGTGGGTGTACGTGTTATAGGGTAGGACACGTGTTATAGTGGGTTAGGACACGTGTTATAGGTGGGACACGTGTTAGAGGGTAGGACACGTGTTATAGTGGGTGGGACACGTGTTATAGTGGGTAGGACACGTTATAGTGGGTAGGACACGTGTTATAGTGGGTAGGACGGGTTATAGTGGGTAGGACACGTTATAATTGGTAGGACACGTGTTATAGTGGGTAGGACACGTGTTATAGTGGGTAGGACACGTGTTATAGTGGGTAGGACACGTGTTATAGTGGTAGGACACGTGTTATAGTGGGTAGGACACGTGTTATAGTGGGTGGACACGTGTTATAGTGCTTAGGACACGTGTTATAGTGGGTAGGACACGTGTTATAGTGGGTAGGACACGTGTTATAGTGGTGGGACACGTGTTAGGAGTGGTGTTATAGTGGGTAGGACACGTGTTATAGTGGGTTGGACACGTGTTATAGTGGGTACACGTGTTATAGTGGGTAGGACACGTGTTATAGTGGGTAGGACATGTGTTATAGTGGAGTTGGACACGTGTTATAGAGGGTAGGACACGTGTTAGAGGGTACACGTGTTATAGTGGGTAGGACACGTGTTATAGTGGGTAGGACACGTGTTATAGATTGTACAGGTGTTATAGTTAAGGGGAGGACACGTGTTATAGTGGGTAGGACACGTGTTATAGTGGGTTGGACACGTGTTATAGTGGGTTGGACACTTGTTATAGTGGGTTGGACACGTGTTATAAGTGGGACACGTGTTATAGAGGTAGGACACGTGTTATAGTGGGTAGGACACGTGTTATAGTGGGTTGGACACGTGTTATAGTGGTAGGACACGTGTTGTGGGTACGTGTTATAGTGGGTAGGACGTGTTATAGTGGGTAGGACGTGTTATAGAGGGTACGACACGTGTTATAGTGGGGAGGACACGTGTTATAGAGGGTAGGACACGTGGTATAGTGAGTTGGACACGTGTTATAGTGGGTTGGACACTTGTTATAGTGGGTTGGACACGTGTTATAGAGGGTAGGACACGTGTTATAGTGGGTAGTATATCTTTTCTTATAGTGGCATAAAACGATATAACGCAAGTACCATCGTCCAATTTGCTCACAGACTGTAGGTAATTTGTTGACATCGGCTGTACATGGTAAGTTGTTTGTAACTTGTCACTTGAACTTGAGGGTAATATGGGGGAGTGTGGCACATGGCAGCGTGACCCCCAGCGTGTTGTAGGGCACCACGCACACCCAGCTGGACCACTGCCAGGCTCCAACACCCCCCCTCCCCCACACCACCGTCAGTTGTTATCTCGTAGCCACGTCACCCACCACCGGTGTACTGCACAGCTCTGCTACACCATCTTACACAATACACCCTCTTGTCTCTCACGTGCGTTTGTAAACAGTATGATGGTAACTGCATTAGGTTTCATAAAGCACGACTGACCACTGGCTGTTGTAATCAGTTCATCTCACGTCAGATCGGGTACCAAGTTTCCTGGATCAGAATCTTTACTTTATTGATTTCAGGAATAAATATCAACTGCTTCATTAAAAAAAAATATTAGCTTATCCTAATATATAACGGATATACCCTTAAACATAAATATTAACTCGGACTAAAAGAAAAAGTACTCACTGAACCCAAGAGAAAAAAATAGCCGAAAGAGGAAAAAAACATAACCCAGCCTTAAATAAGTCTCTTAAACGTGTCTGTATCCGTTTGTGTAATGATCTACACTGTGTAAGCCATGAGCCCCTTGATACCCAGTCTCCTTCAAAGAAACGTCTAGTGAAAGCTCTGCCTCATTAACGCACGAATGTTGATATCGTCCTTGCAATCAGGTGCTAAGCAATGTTTACAAATAGTCGGCGAGACTTGGGACTCATCTGGGCTAATGTGATTCCCGAGGAAAATAAAACGATTTTTGAGTAGCGGCGTGTATAGTGTGGCCTTGAAGCGCACCTGGTTCCTGCCTTGGTGTCTCTAAACTGTCTGTGTGTGTTCTCGCTAAAGCTACGTGACCCTGCTACAGGGACGTGACCTCGCGCACATGTGTTTCTGTGAATGTACAGTATGCATGTTTGTGTCTATAATTGTGTGTATATCTGTATGTGTTTGTGAAAAAGAAAAGAGAACAGACAAGTTGAGTATGTGACGGGAGTAAGAACTGAGTGAGTGAGTGACCGGTGCACGGTGGTGCCCTGGTGGTGGGCGGAAGTGGTCATGGACGACAACGTGGTACAGGTACACAGTTGCCCCCGTCAGTTCGTCTGTGTTGCTTCCTCCTCTATCCGTCCGTCTCACCTGGGAGTTTTGCCACTACTCGGTACTCGAGGTGTGTTATATTGCATAACTTGCCCGCTTATAGTGGCGAGTAGTGTGACTTGTTATTACGTATCAGTGGTGTTTGTGGGTATGTACTTGCATGTTTGTCGTGTTGTGTAGGTGATTATTTGTATATTGAGTTTGTAATCACGTAAGGTGGGCGTGGTGACAACACACATGGGCGGAGCCTGGGTGAGGCGTGGTGAGAGCACACAGGGGCGGCGCCTGGGCTGGGTGTGGACACACATACACACAACAGAAGGAGTCTCACGGACGTCCACCAACACGAGGAGAGTGGCGGACTGGTGGCGTGGTGTGTGCTGAAGTCCTCGCTGTGTCAGTGTGTATCCGACAGCGGCCACGACACTTACCCCCTCCTCTCCACTTACTCCCTGTCCTCGTTCTTCGGGACATTGTGAACAGTGAGCCCTTACTGTGTTATTTTAGAAATGAATACAGGTTCACGTTTTTGTCCTCAAAGTTTAGGATCACAGCAATATTTTAAACTTGGAGATTGTGCCGCGAAACTGACATACAGTGATTGAAGATCTTATTGAACGTTGGCCCTTTATATGTGCCACAGCTTTCGGATTTCTCCTTGGACGGATCATCATGGGAGGAGCGAAGGTGAGAAAATTACCATGGATAAAAGTATGGAGTGTTAGGGTGATAATTAACTCGTATCTGAATTGAGAAAGTGTGAATATTAATGTCACCGAGACCTTGAACATTATTTCAAAAGACCCGTCATCTCTTCGGCAGTAGTCAAGGTCTTAATCAAGATATTATTGAGTAATGTAACACCTGCTAGCTCAGGTTTACCTTGGGCAGGATAATGTCATGGTCCATTTTTAGTTCAACTTGAATTGACTTAAGGGGTTGTGGTGTGTGGTAGGAACGTGACATAAGTGTTGGGTGTACTGTAGGTTGTGTCTGATGCATGTGGTGCTTTATCATGAGGTGAGCGTGGCACAGGTGGTTGGTGCAGGTCGTGAGTGTTGCCGGCCTATCTGTCTGTCTGCCGGTGCTTTTGTCACGGGGTGAGAGCGGTAGAGCATGACACGGGGTAGGGGGGGGTGGGGGGTCAGTGCTGGCTGTGTTACTGTCTAGTGTGCCTCGGTGTGTTGTAAAGTGTGGCCCCCATATGTCCTTATATTTACATAACCCCGAGACAGTCACAGCCACACACAGTGCAAATTCAAGTTGAATGAACTTTCCGTACGGTACCTTTACCTTCCCTCCACATTTAAGAGATTATTGGGCCATGAGATCATTTTCCCAAGCCGGAACTACAGGAATTGGTGACGTGTTGTGTGTGGTGGTGTGTTTAGTTGTATCGTCTTTATGTTGAACGGATTGTAACCAAAACCTCCTCTTCCTCAGTTGTGGACGCTGGACAGGACCAATAAGTGCTGGACAGCTCGTGGTAAGTATATTGGTATTTGTTTTCATGATCTGGGAAAAAAAGTAGTGTGGTGATGTGTGTCCACCAAGATGGTCTTAAGTTAGTGGCACACCAACACTTGCACTAGCAGGCCGACGTAACTGTTTCTTGGTGATTTTTTGTTTCGGCTACTGATGTGTGTTAACCAGGAAAGTGTACAAGTGTGTAAGGTAATCTGAACTACTGTGAAGGTACACTTGTAATATCCTCCACAAGCGGTGGTGATTACTGTGGGCCAGACTAACGCGTGTGGGTGTTGGAAGAGGATGTGAGTTTGTGTAGTGTAGCGCGTATTATTTATTGGCGGGTGGTGGGCGGATGACCTGCCAGGAGGGAGGAGGAGCGAGATGGATTGGGAGGAGGGTGGTTGGGGTTGAGACGAGGAGGGTGGAGGGGTTTGAGGATGTCTGCTATTGTTCCTCCTACACAACATTACAATTCGCCTCTACTTAATTTCTTTTCGTTCACCTCACTGCTACACATTCTCCTGGCAGAACTAGTCTTCCTTGACAGCCTTGTGTTGTGAGAGCAGCTTAAGGGTGTCGTGTTTACCTCAGACAGTCGGCGTTTCTCAGTACTTGACACCGTTTGATATTGAATTTTCCCAATTAAAACACCCCAAGCGCTTTGATTATACTCACTGTTTGTTATACGTTATCTTTAGCCGTCGAATAAGCTGTTAAGATCAACACCGCGCTGTAGGCTTGATGCTAATAAGCTCATTTGAGTACCTTACCATCAGTTCTGTTTTCAAGGTCAGTTTTGTGTATGTGTGTCTCATATTCCCCTCACATCTACTAACATGTCTCAATTGATGTACCGCAATATGGGGATTAGAATTGCGATACCGTGTGTGTTAGTTCGTTGACCAGTGGCTACATTTCAGACGGCAGGTGTGGAAAGTGGTTTCTCCCGAGTATTGGGTTACTGTGTGCAAGGTATATCTTTATGCCTTGACTGTGTGAAGAGGACGAATCGTGGCGTGGATATAACGTGCCTCGTGCGGGTGTACCGACACCTGCGTTAAATTAGCCTCGTAATGCCGAAGTGGTCGATTAACAGTTAAAAATCATTCACTTTTGATAGTGGCCATAATGAGGATGTACAGAGATGGTAGACACTTATGGTGGGCAATAATAATGGAAGTACAGGTAGACTGATGAGGTAGGAGGGCGGCACCTGACTCGCCTCTATGGTAATAATTTCACCACCTAATCTTTAATACCTCTTTGGCTGTATAAGGTAAACACACCACCTTAGTGAAGGAACCAATTTACGTAAGGTGTATTAGGTGGTGGTGACGGTGTGGCTTTTTGGGCGTTGTTGCCATCACCAGACCTGGCCCGGGAATAGCACAAAAATTGAGAGGTTCTGTGTTCTTTGTCTGGTGAACTCAGGTGTTCGGTATTAGTGAAGAACAAATGCAACATCCACCACACCTGGAAGTAAAGTTAACAGGAATCAGTGGATGTATCTTTGTTGTTTTGGTAACAGGATTGGTCAGACAAGAACAATCGAGATGCCATTGATAGTCTGCATTCATTTGGATTGTGTGTGTGTGTGCAAGGCATGTTATCGGTAATCGGTATTTATGATGGGAATTGATGACTACGACTACCCTAACTAATGATGTATTGAGAGGCTCCCTCTGTCAACAAGCCGCTGTTGACACTGCCTGGTGGTGCTGGCCCCTGCTCGCTCCCCTCCTCCTTCCTGGCGGGGTCAAGACTACTTGGAGTTCAGGGCATTGGCTGTTGAAATGTTTTTTTAGTTTTATCCGACGCCCATGAATTCAGGGGTCTAGTTTCGCCCATGTGTGTGTGGGCTGACCCATCGCTCGGGTTATTAACGAACCCAAGGACATGATCAGGTGTAACATCATAAAAACAAGGTTAATCATGATTGTTGCTCGTCTGTGCCTTTATGTTGTGAATGATTAATGTAGTGTCGTCATCTGCACTTCTTGCTTTCTAACCTTCAACCTGTCCTGTCGATTTAAATATTAATTAATTTGAATATATACCGAAATTGCAAAATGATGAGACGTGTGCCAAAGTCATTAGGGATTTTGAATACAGGAACTTGTCGCCTCATCACGACTTTGTTTCATGGTAGATTATTACACAGTGGAGCTCTTTATGTAACTTCCTTTGTTATCGACGTGTCTATTTTAGGTTTTTATGTGAAGGTGTGGAGGCGGGTATTGCAGTCACTGATGTGATGGTGGGGAGAACTGGGGGGGGGGGGGCAACACACAATCACCATCACTCTCACCGCCTCCCTGTTGATGATGTCACGGTTGTTGATGGTGAATGTGGATGCCTAATTTAGTTGATGGAGATGATGGTGAAATGTGTTAATATTGATTGATGTTTAAGCACTATCGGTTTTCTTCTGTTGGGTGGAGACAGGTGAGGTGAGGAGGGGTGTAGTGAAGGAGTGGGGGGGAGGAGGGTCGTTCTATTAGCAGTGGAGTTAGTGTTGCGTCACCACTATCATCCGGTTGCTGTCACAACCTCCCAAGTTCTTGCCCAATACATCCTGTGTGTGTTTCACTTTGAGGATTGCATTTCTTACTTACAATATACCAGGAGGGTGAATAATGTGTTTACGGAGATACTTCCCTAGGCCATTAAACTCTTTCTGTATATACCAAAATATCTTGTGTGTGGTGTTGACTCAGGTATTTTTTATGATTAATGTATAACTTATTGTTTAGCTGGTAGTGATGATAAGATGAACTGTAATGTTATGTCGTGAATTATGTACAAGTTACAGTACTTTTGACATTTGACTCAAAGTTGAATGTTTGGAGTTGGAATTTATTATTCTTTATTTTAGTTTTTTTTTTTTTGGTATACTTTCTGTATGTGGCTGTGCTTGTTTCCTACCTTTGGTGCTTGGTAACACACACACACACGCACACACACACACACACACACACACACACACACACACACACACACACACACACACCAATGCTTCCTACGCTCCCTACTTTTTGTGGACCATTGCCGAATAGTGAGGATTTCAACATACTGTTTTATAGTTTTAACGATAATTTAAATATTTATCAAAGAACAGCTACGGCGATAAAAAAATGATGACCCAACTCTTTAAATACTGTTGGTTAAATCCCTTCAGGTACTTTGTAAGACTGTCATACTAAATCGAACTTATGCTTCTAAAACAGTCACCGTACCCCATGTGAGATATACAGTACAGTTACTCCCAGTGTATGTCTTAAAAGGGAGGGTGTGGGAACTGGTCCTGAGAGGGGGTGGCCTGAAGGGCGCTCTGGTAATTATCTTTGTAGGTTAGTCGGGGTCATTTTTGATCACGAGGTAGTACCAACGCCCACCTCATATTATTATGGTCTGTGGCCATTACCTGTACTGTTTACCTCTGGCCATTACCTGCACCGTTAAACTCTGTGGCCACTACCTGCACTGCTCATGTCTGTGGCCACTACCTGCACTGCTCATGTCTGTGGCCACTACCTGCACTGCTCATGTTTGTGACCACTACCTGCACTGCTCATGTCTGTGGCCACTACCTGCACTGCTCATATCTGTGGCCACTACCTGCACTGCTCATGTCTGTGGCCACTACCTGCACTGCTCATGTCTGTGGCCACTACCTGCACTGCTCATGTCTGTGACCACTACCTGCACTGCTCATGTCTGTGACCACTACCTGCACTGCTCATGTCTGTGGCCACTACCTGCACTGCTCATATCTGTGGCCACTACCTGCACTGCTCATGTCTGTGACCACTACCTGCACTGCTCATGTCTGTGGCCACTACCTGCACTGCTCATGTCTGTGGCCACTACCTGCACTGCTCATATCTGTGGCCGCTACCTGCACTGCTCATGTCTGTGGCCACTACCTGCACTGCTCATGTATGTGGCCACTACCTGCACTGCTCATATCTGTGACCACTACCTGCACTGCTCATATCTGTGACCACTACCTGCACTGCTCATGTATGTGGCCACTACCTGCATTATTCGCTTCTGTGGCCACTACCTGCACTGCTCATATTCTGGCCACTACCTGCACTGCTTATGTCTGTGCACTACCTGCACTGCTCATGTCTGTGGCCACTACCTGCACTGCTCATGTCTGTGACCACTACCTGCACTGCTCATGTCTGTGGTACTACCTGCACTGCTCATATCTGTGGCCACTACCTGCACTGCTCATGCTCCGTGACCACTACCTGCACTGCTCATGTCTGTGGCCACTACCTGCACTGCTCATGTCTGTGACCACACTGCACTGCCTGGGCGTGACCACTAACTGCACTGCTCATGTCTGTGACCACTAACTGCAATTGCTCATGTTCTGGCTACTACCTGTACTGCCTATGTTGTGACCACTACCTGCACTGCTCATGTCTGTTACTACCTGCACTGCTCATGTCTGTGGCCACTACCTGCACTGCTCATGTCTGTGGCCACTACCTGCACTGCTCATATCTGTGACCACTACCCACTGCTCATGTCTGTGGCCACTACCTGCATGCTCATGTCTGTGGCCACTACCTGCTCCTTATTTGGCCCTGCCTGCACCATGTCTGTGGCCACTACCGCTGCTCATTTGTTTACCTGCACTGCTCATATCTGTGGCCACTACCTGCACTGCTCATGTCTGTAGCCACTACCTGCACTGCTCATATCTGTGGCCACTACCTGCACTGCTCATATCTGTGGCCACTACCTGCACTGCTCATGTTGTGGCTTTTTGTACTGCTCATGTCTGTGGCCACCTGCACTGCTCATGTCTGTGACGCTTTCCACTGCTCATGTCTTGACCACTACCTCACTGCTCATGTCTGTGGCCACTACCTGCACTGCTCATATCTGTGGCCACTACCTGCACTGCTCATGTCTGTGGCCACTACCTGCACTGCTCATCTGTGGCCACTACCTGCACTGCTCATATCTGTGGCCACCACTGCACTGCTATGTCTGTGG